ACATAAAAGGGGAGCTATACTAGCTGGCACTAGACCGCGCACTGGTCTAAGCATCACCTGAAAGAAGCATATAAAACATGGGACGACGCCCGGTCAGCGAATAATGCTGGTAACCCACCAATACATATGAAATATCATACATAGGTAAGATATAAGTTTATAAATCCATTTTCGAAACAGAATACATATATATAAGTCAAAAACCAAGAGTAATAGTCAACACAAGACTCAACACTCTCAACAAGAATACGGGAACACATCCCAAGACCACAAGGAACAACAACGACTCACAAGAAGTCCCAAGGTATGGTCTATCATCACACAATAGACCAACACCCGACATGCATAACTCAAAGGAATAAGACACGACAAACGGCAACACATGCCAAGGCAACACATGCCTTTGTGACTACATACGTCACAAGAAGAGAACTCACAACAACGGCTGCACAAGCCCTCGTGACATCACCCATCACGAATTGATATGCATTCCTTATGCCCGGTTCCAACCTTGTGGCTACCCCAACCTTGTATCTTCTTCCAACCATTACCTCCAGGACCCCTGTACACCAAGTCCAACCTTTTACCTCCGAGGACCGTCGTCCCCATCCGCCAACGACCACCAACAAAACCACCGATTTCATAGTACACGAGGGTACCATTCACACACACGGCAACACATGCCTCTCCCAAAACACGTGAACCTGACACACAGGTCACAACTCCATAATCACGTCATGGCCACCACGAGGACCACTGCAATACCTTGGTGACTAGTGTCCCATACCACTAATCGTGCAATCCAGGTAAAGCCACACACGCATCACACCACAACAGGAATCAATCAACGGATCACAACGAAGATATGAAACCATACTCAATCAAGGAATGGGTCACAATTCAACAACAACAACGATGAATAACACAAGTTATCATCAACCCATAAGAAGGTACAAACAACACACACGCTAGAATTTAAACATCGAACTAGCATGCTCATCAAACAGATAAACCAAACGTAGTTCCGGAGAACACACAAGACTCATCACGGTTCAACGAAACACAATGTTGAACACTTAGCACGATTCAAGACACCAAAACATATATGGATTCCTACCATATAGTTCTAGACATACGAAACATCAAGAAGATGCTCAAATAGTTCCACAAAAGAACATCGGGAAGTCAAAAGACCAAATATCGAGTCAAAAGAATCACGGGGAACAAATCCCCGCCAATCACCAAAGTGTACCCCGCGGGTGGACCCACGAGTAGGCCCCTACCCGTGGTCCTGCCCGCGGGTACATACACCCACAAGCCTCTCTCCCCGCGAGTGGGGCGGCGGGTAGGGCTCTGCCCGCTGTTCCGCCCGCGGGTACCCAACCTGTACCAAAATAATCCCTTCGGGGATTTTCAACTCCAAGCTCAAATTCAAGTCCAAAACATGCCAAAACTCACCAAATACAACAAAGTGACTTGAATCAAAGAAATAGCTAAGCAATGGCATACAAGAACCCTAAACACAAGCTCTAGATATGCATTTTCACAAGACAATGCATAAACACTCACATTTGATAGCAAAACACATGTAGAATCCAAGAAATAATCACATAGGTAAGCAAAATAGATTTTGTAGAGCATGGGTTACCTCTTGTAGACCAAAAACCTTCACTTAACACCTCACCAAGCTCCTATCAAAGCTCACCTTCCAAACCCACTTCAAGAACACACCAAAAGATCATAAAGATTCTATCTTTAAGAAAAGACACCTAAGAAGACACTAAAAACACAAGATGAACATGGATCTTACCCTCCTAGATGCCCAAATGTATGAAAGGTAGAATCTTGGAGACAACTCTTGAAGTCTTGACAAAGCTTCAACTTGGCTTGGAAGAAAAGATACCCACCTTTTTAGAGAGAAGGTGGAGCTAGAATTTTGGAAAGTGTAAGGATAGAAATGAGGATGTTCTTACTAGGTTAGGTTACAATACTAACACAAGGTGAAAGCTCAAGAATACCCTTACTAACATGGAAAGGTCTAAAGAAACAAGGGAACTCCTTACAAAGCTCAAGGTACAACTTTGACTATGGGGTTGACTAGTCAATTACTAGTCCCCGACTATAGAATTTCAGAAATTTAAGGAATTAAATTACAAATTGAAATAGGATTAATTACTTAATTAATCCCTTAATTGAATTCGGATTTCGGGGTGTCACAGTGTAACACCCCCTAAAACCATGCTATTTAAAGCCTTAAAACATGCAGATATCTAAACCAAAACATCAAACACAGCGGAAGACTGAAAGAGGATAAATATAAAATAGAAGAAACGGGGTGCTATGCCACGCTTACCCAAAGGTGAACGCACAGGCTACATCTGCATTATTCAGCGTCTAAAACCAACATAACAAAGTACTAAGTCTCAATTGGCTCACATGCCACAAAACATAAGAGGGGAGCTACACTAGCTGGCACTAAACCGCGCACTCGTTTAAGCATCACTTGAAAGAAGCATATAAAACATGGGACGACGGCTGGTCAGCGAATAATGCTGGTAACCCACCAATACATGTGAAATATCATACATTGGTAAGATATAAGTTTGTAAAGCCATTTTCGAAACGGAATACATATATATAAGTCCAAAACCAAGAGTAATAGTCAACACAAGACTCAAACAATCTCAACAAGAACACAGGAACACATCCCAAGACTACAAGGAACAACAATGACTCAAAAGAAGTCTCAAGGTATAATCTATCATCACACGATAGATTGATACCCGACATGCATAACTCAAGGAATAAAGACACAACAAATGGCAACACATGCCTTTGTGACTACACACGTCACAATAGAAGAACTCACAACAACGGCTACACAATCCCTCGTGACATCACCCATCACGAGTTGATATGCCTTCCTTATGCCCGGTTCCAACCTTATGGCTACCCCCAACCTTATGTCTCGTTCCAACCTTTACCTCCAGGACCCCTGTACACCAAGTCCAACCTTTTCCCTCAGAGGACCGTCGTCCCCTCTCCAACAGATCTCCAACAGAACCACCAATTTCATAGTACACGAGGGTACCGATCACACACACCGCAACACATGCCTCGGCAACACATGTCTCTCCAAAAACACGTGAACCTTACACAAAGGCCACAGCTCCATAATCACGTCATGGCCACCACGAGGACCACTGTAATACCTTGGTAACTAGTGTCCCATACCACTAATCGTGCAATCCAGGTAAAGCCACACACACCACACCTCAACAGGAATCAATCAACAGATCACAACGGAGATATGAAACCAAACTCAACCAAGGAATGGGTCACAACCCAACAACAACAATGATGAATAACACAAGTTATCATCAACAATAGAAAGGTACAAACAACACATACGCTAGCATTTAAACACCGAACTAGCATGCTTATCAAACGGGTAAACCAAACGTAGTTCCGAAGAACACACAAGACCCATCACGGTTCAACGAAACACAATGTTGAACACTTAGCACGATTCAAGACACCAAAACCTACATGGATTCCTACCATATAGTTCTAGACATACGAAACTTCAAGAAGACACTCAAATAATTCCATAAAAGAACATCGGGAATTCAAAAGACCAAATACCAAGTCTAAAGAATCACGGGGAACAAATCCCCAATCAACCACACAGTGTACCCCGCGGGTGGACCCACGGGTAGGCCCCTACCCGCGGTTCGGCCCGCGGGTACACTACCCACAAGCCTCGTTCCCCGCGGGTGGACGCCTACCCGCCGTTCCGCCCGCGGGTACGTATACCTGCACAAAATAATCCCTTCGGGGATTTTCAACACCAAGCTCAAATTCAAGTCCAAAACATGCCAAATCTCACCAAATATAACAAAATGACTTGAATCAAAGGAATAGCCAAGCAATGGCACACATGAACCCTAAACACAAGCTCTAGATATGCATTTTCACAAGACAATGCATAAACACTCCCATTTCATAGAAAAATCACATGTAGAATCTAAGAAATCATCATAGAGGTAAGCAAAATAGATTTTGTAGAGCATGGGTTACCTCTTGTAGACAAAAACCTTCTCTTAACACCTCACCAAGCTCCTAACAAAGCTCACCTTCCAAACCCACTTCAAGAACACACCAAAAGATTAAAAAGATTCTATCTTTAAGAAAAGACACCTTAGAAAACACTAAAAACACAAGATGAACATGGATCTTACCCTCCTAGATGCCCAAATGTATGAAAGGTAGAATCTTGGAGACAACTCTTGAAGTTTTGGCAAAGCTTCAACTTGGCTTGGAAGAAAAGCTATCTACCTTTTTAGAGAGAAGGTGGAGCTAGAATTTGGGAAGTGTAAGGAGAGAAATGAGGGTGTTCTACTAGGTTAGCTTACAATACTAACACAAGGTGAAAAGTCAAGAATACCCTTACTAACATGAAGATGTGTAAGGGAACAAGGGAACTCCCTACAAAGCTCAAGGTACAACTTTGACTTTGGGGTTGACTAGTCAATTACTAGTTCCCGACTATTGAATTTTCAGGAATTTAAGGAATTGAATTACAATTTGAAATAGGATTAATTATTTAATTAATCCCTTAATTGAATTTGGATTTCGGGGTGTCACAGACTGGGATAGGGAATCATAATCTAACTCAAATATATAAAGTCCTAATACTCCCCCTCAAGCACAAGGTACAGTAGTGACTTGTAGCTTCTCTCTAAGAAAAGAAAATCTAGGGCCAGGTAGAGCTTTAGTAAAGATATCTGACAGTTGATCCTTAGTCGAAATAAAATTAACTTGTATATCTCCATTTGTAACTCTATCTCTAACAAAGTGATAATCAATTTCTACATGCTTAGTCCGAGCATGAAAAATAGGATTTGCACACATATATGTAGCACCAAGATTATCACACCACAGCTTGGGGGTAGACACACCGGTCACGCCAACTTCACGCAGTAGAGAGAGAATCCAAATTACCTCAGCACAAACATCTGCTAGAGCTTTATATTCAGCCTCAGTAGATGATCTAGCAACAGTTCTTTGTTTCTTACATACCCATGACATAAGATTGGTACCAAGAAAAACAGCATAACCACTAGTTGACTTACGATCCTTAGGACAGCTAGCCCAATCAGAATCAGAAAAAGCATGTAAATCTCTAGACACTAACTTCCTTATTCGCAGACCATAAGTAACAGTTCCCTTTACATACCTCAATACAAGTTTCAATTGCTCCCAATGAGAGACCGTATGAGCATGCATGTGTTGACAGAGTTGGTTAACCGCAAAGGACAGATCTGGACGAGTAACTGTAAGATACTGTAAAGCTCCAGCCAAACTCCTATACTGTATAGCATCATCATATAAGTCTGCATTAAAGACAGTGGGTTTCGAAACAGATATAGGAGTGGCTAAAGATTTACAGTCTGTCATGCCAGCACGTTTTAAAATATCTGTCATGTATATTTGACTATTTGTTGAGAAAGCAAAATTCCATCATCACACTTAACAGTTTCAATCCTAAGAAAGAAACGAGGTTCGCCAAGATCCCTAATCTTGAATTCAGATGACAATTCTGCTAGTAAAGTACTAACAAGATTCTGATCATTGCCCATTACAAAAATATCATCAACATATACTAGAACATAAATGAAGCCTGAATCTTGCGAGTAGTAAAATAAAGATACATCTGTTTTTGAAGCTTTAAACCCCACTGACAGTAGAAACACATGCAAGCGATTAAACCAAGCTCTAGGAGGTTGTTTTAATCCATATAGAGAGCGTTTTAACAGACAAACATGATTAGGAAACTGTTTATTAATATATCCACGTGGTTGCTTCATATAAATAGTTTCAGATAATTTCCCATTCAAAAAGGCAATGTGCTCATCAAGCTGCTTAACAACCCAACCAAAGGATACAACTAGAGAGAGAAGTAACCTGATAGTTGTGGGTTTGACTACTAGGTTGAATGTGTCAAAAAAATTATGTTCAAGTACTTGATTAAATCCTTTGGCTACTAACCTTGCTTTGTATCGTTCAATTGATCCATCAACTTTCCTTTTGGTGCGAAATACCCATTTGCATCGAATAATATTCATATCTGACTGTGATGGAACGAGACACCAAGTCTCATTCTGAAGAAGTGCATTAAAATCTTCATCCATTGCCTTGCGCCCCTCACCATGTTTTACTGCCTGTGTATAACAAGTAGTTTCAGTAGGGCAAACCTGAGTAGAGAGAGCCAAAAGGGGAGCCTTAAAATGGCTTCGAGTAGCCATGGTGTGCGTCTGGACCGTTGACCGTGTAGACCGCCCCCTATGACGGCCTCGGGGTCGTGTGGTAGCCACTGCATCAGCGGGCTCAGTGTGCTCGGCCTAGACTGGTTCCGGCTGGTTAGTGTGAGCAGGGGTCGGTTCGGGCGGTGCATGCTGAACCGCAGCAGCGGGCGCGATCGGAAGAAGTACAGATTCGGCCCACAGTTGATTTTTCTGAACCAAAGGTGCCTGCAAAACACTTTTAGCACTGAAAGGAAAAACTCTTTCATCAAACCGACTGATAAGCGTCAAAATATGCTAGTTTTTAGGAGCCTTTTATATGAGTTTTGTGCTTGTTTTGATATGAAAGTCTTGATTTTTAGAGTGAATTATCCTAAAATCATGGTTTAGTATGAAAATCATGGTTTAGTATGAAAAGTGGTAAAAGGAGTCGAAAAGAGCAAAGCCGAGAAAAGGGCGCACACAAGGACCGAACACACCGTGGCCACGCACGAAAGAAGGAGGAAATGGGAATTATTTCCCATTTACGCCAGCTTCATGGCGTCAGAAGGAGCGTGAGAGTACATGCAAAGACAAGGGAGAATTATCCCCCATTTACAAAGCCCTCACGGCGTGAGGGAGTGTGTAAACCAGATATAATGAAGCCGGACGAAGCTTAACATGGAAGGTGAATTATTTCCCATTTGCGCCGGTGTCACGGTGTGACGCCGTGCGTAAATGGGAGGCTGAATGAAATGCTCTATTTAAGGGCAAAAAATTCTGATTTGCAAGGGAGTTCCACAATTTTCTAGAGAGAAGTTTTTAGAGGGAAGTTTTAGATCTAGGGTAGTTTACATTTTCTCTTTCTAGGTTTTAGCCAAGAATCCATTAGATTTGTAAGGAGATTGGAAGATTTAGAGTGACTTGTAGCTTGGATCTCCATTCCCTACTTGCCATTGAAGAGATCTCGCTTGGATTTGGGTGAAATCTATTCCTACTCTTTATTGATTTTCTTTTGTTTCACCTATTTCTAGATTGCTTGATCTTGATCTTAACAATGATTGGCTAAAATTATAGGGGTGAGGATTGTTGTATAGATTGTATTTGTGATGTTTAGCTTGATTTGATTTGTGATTGTTGTGATGATTGAATATTGTGGCTTGAATGTCTTGTTGGAAGATGAATGTTTACAATGACCCTTGTGTGTGAGTGCGCACCACATGATTGTAGGTTTAGGAAGGATTATGTTGTCAAGAGATTGAGACATAATCCTAGCCTCCTCCCCCTTGCATTTCCCGTCCTAGATCCGAGAGGATTAGGCCCGGAAAGGGATGTAGGCAAGGTGTTTGCTTATTTGCCTCGTAGAAGAAATGAGCACCTGGGTTTCATATCCACCTACGGGAGGCGTATATAGAGCCGTCAAAACGGGCTTAGCCCGCCGGGCCGGCCCGCCCCGCCACTACTTAGGTAGGGGGCGGGTTTCGAAAATGCAGGACCGTTTAGGAGCGGGCCTTTTTGGCCCGCCCCGCTTAGGCCCGCGGTTTTGGCGGGGCGGGCCTGGCGGGCCGCGGGCTGCCCGCCTATATTTTATTTTTTTTATATAAAATATGATAGATTAATAGTGATATTTTAGATATTTTAAATACAATAGGCAGGCTCAATAGATCAGATCTCAACTCGTCATCCATTCATCTGCCACAATTCCACAAACCGCGTCCGCAAAGTCCCAAACCCTAGATCTCTTCCCGGCTTCCCGCTTCCGCAATCGGCTTCGCAGAGGGCAGAGGCGCAGACTCCGGCCACTGCCACCACCAGTCCGGCCTTCTTCCACCAGCGCCAGTCCGCCAGTCCGCCAGTCCCCCAGTCTGCCTCGGCCAGTCCGCCACCAGTCCACCACCAGTCCGGTCGTCTTCCACCAGGACCACCGTCCACCGCCAGTCTAGCCTTCCTCCACCGCCAGTCCAGCCTTCCGCCACCAGCAGTCCAGCAGTCAGCAGGTAACAAAACTAACAATTTTATATGTGTTTTAGGGATACATGAGTAGACTCTTTGCACTGAAAATTTAATTTTAATTTTATTCTTGAAGATTTAATTTTATTCTTGAACAGTTGAACCTCTTTAAAAAAAAAAAAAAAAATTGTTTGTTTGTTGGTTTGGTTTCTCTATCTTAAATGGTTTCATGTCTTGCATATTCACTGTACTACTTGAGTGCTTAGGATGTTTGGAGTGTAAAATTAATTGTTCAGTGTGTTCATTAGTGTAGTATTTTATTGCAGTGTAAAATTAAAAAAAAAATGGAATCAAATCAAGATAATGCGGGGGTTGATAAGGAAGCTACTCAAGCTAGTACTGCATCAAAAAGTAAGTGTAAAACTTCAGATGTTTGGAATTATTTTAAAGATATGGGGCTGGCTGAAGATGGCATACAAAGAGCTGAATGTATAGGGTGCAAAAAGATTTTTAAATCAGGGGGTAAAACACATGGAACATCAACACTGAGACGACATATGAAAAGCTGCCAATTGTTGAAAATTCACTTTCATGATGTAGGTCAAATGATTTTTGATGTTGATGGAAAAATTAGGTCTAAAAAATTAGATATAGAGCTAGCCCGTGAGGTGTTTGCTTCTGCGATTGTGGAACATGATTGTCCATTTGCATTTGCTGAATATTCTGATTTTAGGAAGTACCATAAACTTCTCAATCCTGATGCTCCAATTCTTTCTAGAAATACTATGGTTTCTGACATTAACAAGTTATATGTGAAGGAGAAATATAAACTTCGACAAGTGATGACTAGTATTCCAAATAGGATTTGCTTGACTTCTGATTTATGGACTGCTTGTACTACTGAAGGATACCTATGTTTGACTGGTCATTTTGTTGATGAGAAATGGAAATTAAATAGTAAAATACTTGCGTTTGAAAAGATGCCTCCTCCACACACTGGTTTTGAATTGGCACAAAAAATATATGAAATCTTGAAGGATTGGGGGATTGAAAAGAAGGTGTTTTCTTTGACTTTGGACAATGCAAGTAATAATGATAGTATGCAAGATAAATTGAAGGATCAATTGACTATGCATGATAGTTTGTTGTGTGAGGGGGAATTTTTCCATATTCGCTGTTCAGCTCATATTTTGAATTTGATTGTCCAAGAAGGTTTAAAAGTTGCCAACCAAAGTATGCATAAAATTAGAGAATCTGTGAAGTATGTCAAAAGTACTGAAAGTAGGATGCAAAAATTTCAAGAGTGTGTGGCTGAAGTTGCTGGTGTTGATACCTCAATTGGCTTACGGTTGGATATGCCAATCCGTTGGAATTCTACGTATTTGATGTTGGATAGTGCCATTCGATACAAAAAAGTTTTTAGTCTTCTTCAATTGAGAGATAAGAATTTTAAGGATTGTCCTTCAAACGAAGAATGGAAATTAGGTGAAAGATTGTGTGCTTTCTTTGAGCCATTTTATGAGATCACGAACTTGATTTCTGGTTCTTCTTATCCTACATCAAATGTGTATTTTTTGCAAGTTTGGAAAATTGAAAGGTTGTTGAAATCTGGTTTAAGTGATGAAGACACATTGATGAGTGGAATGTGTAAAAAGATGTTAGATAAATTTGACAAGTATTGGAGTGAATATAGTGTAGTGCTTGCTTTTGGTGCTATTCTTGATCCACGGTTTAAGTTAAAAGTATTGGAGAAGCTCTATGCTAAGGTTGAGACAGATCCTACTAAATGCAAAGAAAAGATTGAGTTGTTGAAAACAAAGCTTTACAAGCTTTATGATCAATATGCGAGTGTTATTGGATCAAGTTCATCACAATCACGTTCTTCAAATGTCATGCACTCAAAAGTGAAAAGTCAAAAAGTAGTGACAACGTTGGGAAAAAGATGGTTTGATGTAAGTATTGTAACACTTTATTCTAATATTTTTATTATATTATCTTAGTTGGTACTTGCTTGTTAGCTTGTATAGTTATTGTGTTTGAACTAATGCAGGATATTCTAGATGTCACTGATGAAGTTGTTACGCCTGTTGAAATTTCTGAATTGGATCGTTACTTGGACCAGCCATGTTATGAGATGAAATTTTATCAAGATTTGGACGTGTTAAGTTATTGGCGGGGTCTTGTTCAAGGATATCCCATCCTTTCACGCATGGCGCGTGATCTTTTGGCAATTCCTATAACTACTGTTGCATC